GCTCAAACGTGCTGCACTGAAGCGCTGCAGCAGAGCGTTTGGTCTTTGTGAACATAAATGGTCATGACATTTTATGGCTGGAGAAGTGCAGTGAGTCATAGAAGGACATAAGTTCTGCTCTCCTCTGCTGTTTGCATACTGCAGCTTAATGTGTCTGTGATGACAGCTACGTCACAGTGCAGACCCATTTATGTAAGCAAAGTTTACACGTTCACTTATATACTGCAAGTGTGTGTGTGTGTGTGTGTGTGTGTGGAGCAGAGTGCAAGGATTGCCAGCTCCATGTGCGGCAGGATTGTGGGAAATAGGATGAACGAGAGAGGCATCAGGTTGAGTCTCGGCTGAGTGCGAAGTGCAAAATCTGTGTCCAACACCCAGTGTGGCTGCAGCTGCCTCTTCACTGTTTCATCCTCTGGTTTTAGTTCAGCGTTGGAGCGATCCTGTGATATTTTATACAATGATAGTGTGCAGGTTTAATAAAAAAACTGAATTATTATAGAAGCATTATAGTATTGCAGAAGAAATGGGTTTTGTTTGGTCTTTTTTAAGAGGAGCATTTCAATTTCAGCTTGTGCCACGCAGTCTATTGTTTTCAGTCATACTAGTGGCACCTCTTATGAGGAAGGAAATGACAGTCTGCTGGTAGGTTCACTACTTTGAACAAGATTAATATAGACTCTTCGGCCACTTAGGTACATCAGCTAATTACAGAAAACTGAGGTTGTATTTCATACAGGCTCGCTAAAAGCAGACAATAAGAGACTGAAAAACATTCTAAGATCAGAATACGAAAGTATTGCCATCGTGTCTTGAATCAACGATTCAGACTGGTGGTAATTTAATGGTGTGAGGGATACTTTCTCAGCACACTGTGGGCTCCTTAGTACCAACTGTGCATCATTTAAACACCAAAACATACCTGAGTATCTCTTTATGATCAGTGTACCCATCTTCTGAAGGCTGCTTCCAACAGGATGGCACCATGCATGTCACAAAGCTCAGATCATCTCAAACTGGTTTCTTAAACATAACAATGAGTTCACTGTGCTCAAATGGCCTTGACAATCACCAGCTCTCAGTCCAACAGAGCATCTCTGGAAATTCACATCATGCATGTGCAGCAGACAAGTCTGCATCAACTATGGGATCCTATTGTGTTAGTACGGACCAAAATCTCTGAGGAGTGTCTCCAGCAACTTGTTGGGTGGGTGTACCACAAACAATTAAGGCAGCTACAAAGATAAAAAAGGGACCCAATCCAATAAGGTGTACCTAATGAAGTGACCAGTGAGAATATCTCATGAAGTAGCACCTGTATTTTCATGAGTTTTTGTTTTGTTTTTTGTAAAAAGCAATTTATGTATGTATTTGGCACCTCAGGGCCACCATACATTTCCACCAGCCTAAGCTTCTACATGTTCACAAAGTAAACAACATGTGATCATGATGACATGTGTTTTTAAATGATTATTTCACATCTGCAGACCTACACATTACTGGGATATGTATGTCACATAAATACTGTATAATCAATAATAGTAGTAACCTGTGCAAGCAGAGGCTTGATCCAGCTCTCTCACTGAGCAGCATCATGTAATCACTAACATGTGGGTGCAAGGATGACAGTAATATCATAAGTCTGTGCGAACAAAGAGCTTGTTTTCCCCCATCGCTGCCGAAATCTGCTATTGCTGACCTGATTTCAGATCAACAGGTGACACGCAGGACCTTAATCTGAATGCTGCCACAGCTGGAAACACGTGGAGCGAGCACACACAGCCTTTGAAGCCTCAGCAGCAGCTGAGGGTGTATGTTTCTGTGAAATATAATCAGGTTATTAAAAAATTTAAAAATAAAACAAAAACATTTGGATAATTTGGGGGTTGTTAGATATTAAATTCTTACCTAATATACTGAAACTCATAAAAGCTGAATTGTAGTTTACTGTCATCGTCGCATAGATGTGAAAAAGTAAAGTTTTATTTGCTCCAAGGTTGACTAATGAAGAAAATAATAAATGCATATTTAAATTATTCTTTAATTTCAAGACTTTAATCATTTGAATTGCCTAAAAGCGCTTATAAAATTCGGGGGGGAAAAACTGCAGCTGCAGGTGGAGTGCTTAAAGGCAACATTTGCTTCTAAATTCCAATTTAGCAGGTCCAAGCTTGCACCGACCTGCAGAGTGGGGGCGCAGTGGAGAGGGTGGAGGGAGTCTCAGTTTCCCAGGCTGTCACATCAGCAAACATAAGAGAAAAAAACGACAAATCCCTCCTCTGCATTCTCACAAACTCTGCTCTAGCATGACTGCGGGATATTTTAGGAGCTCACCTGCTTCTAAATATATTCAGCAGTGACGAGAATACACTGTCCGCACAGAGGAGGAGTGCGCATGTGCAAGTGTGCCAGAATAAGTTTGAGGTGTGAGAGCGGCAGCGGCTGCTACTGCCGGTGTGAACCTAACAAAGGCATAGCCTCCCGTTGGTGCTGTAGCATCGTCATCCACGCCCAGACTGTACAGTAAGTCTGCCAGTCAGGTAACCCGTGGTAACAGAGGAAGCACAGCAGGAGTGCTTTCAAAATAAAGGCTTAGCATCGCATAAGTGATAAGGGACAAAATCTAATTAGATTCTCTTCAGTACAGGAATAGCATAATGATTTTAGCTTATTTTATCTCCAGAGTGTTTATTAGTAAGCACCAGAAGCAAAAATGATTTGAAAGAAGGCTTCTAATTAACAGCCGATTACCCCAGGGGGACCCAGTACTCCAGGGGGCCATTAAAAAAGTACTAATTTAGCAGTAAATGTGTTTGGGAATAAGTGCAGCAGAAGTAAACATGGCTCAGAAATAATAGTGATTATTTGTATAAATGATTAGCCCCAAATGAGTTCTGCTGCTTTGTTTAGGGTGTATAATCATATTGTGCTTTGCTTATATTGAAAGCTAGATAGCAATTTGCTCTCCTAAATACTGTCATAAAGTATCTACCGGGCCTCAAAATAGATCTAAACAAGTCGGTATTTATTCAACCTACCTAACCTGAAATTCTGTCTCCATAATGTAGCTATTGTACCCCATAACAGCAGTTAATCTTCTCGATTTGGAGAAGTTTTTTTGCTGGCTTCCAGCTTTATCTGGATCTAAAACCACTCAAGTGTGAGATGTAGAGGGATTTAGGATGAGAATAAAAAAAGAGCACCTAAAAAAAGTTGTTTTATTTTGTAAGCAGGAAAAGGAAGCCCAGTGTTTGACGACAGGTGAGTTGACGTTGAGGTTCAGGCGACCGGGCAGTGCGCTTGGTTCGCAGGAGAGGAGTGCTGAGTGCAGCTGGGGGAAGGAGAGCTTGTTGT